ATGTTTTGATCTGCCCTGTTTCGCTGTTATGCCCTCTTTTTTCTCAATCTCCACTCCATTATTTACTTTTTTATTTTTATCCATTTAATTAAAGGGAAAAATATAGCAGGATATAATATAGTAACCCACTTTGACTTTCTATTATCTCGATTTGAAGCCCTGTATTACTCTCACCATCTTGTTTTTGACTGAGGTTCCTCTATTCTGTTTTGCTGGATAGTATCAGGTTCGAAAGTTTAGGCATCAGCTGAGAAGATAATGAGATTCATTATAACGCCCATTCTCGTTGACTTTTATCTACTTTTGAAGACCTACAATATCTCCAATGTTTTGGTTTTGTCGGTTTTATTCTTTACGGTTTTGTTCAATTGTATTACAACTAATGATATAGGCAATTCTATTAGAAATAGCGGGAGGCATTATGGTAACCATTGTTGATCACCTTGTATTATGTTTTTATATTATCTATTGTGTCCACCCTTTTGACTTGACCGATTCTGTTCTGTTATGTCACATTTGGTTTTACTCTCTTCCAAAAAAGCAGTAAGAACCGTGGGAGCAATGAAACCCAAAATGTGTAATAGTCACGGTACAAAAGAGAGGAAAAGAAAGTGCTCTAAACTATATAACTGCATGTATATTTAAATGTATAAGATAGAAAATGATATCACAGAGTTTTATTGGATCATTGAACAGAACTGTTTGCAGTATCATTGTTGGAATGTCCACTCTACAAGCTTTAATTTTGTGACTTGAACAATTATTTCTAAGATGGCAATATTTAATCCATTAACTAGTGATTTCCTACTGCGCATTTTTTTCTCCTGTAAATCTGTATAACTTGTACCCCTTCACTGTTTTTTTTTCTTTCTTTTCTTTTCTCCTTAAATAAAAAAAAAAAAAACAAACTCGTGGGCAATAAGAAATACAGAAATTAAAATAGTAGCTAGTTGTGCTGGTACACACTATAATCCTAGCTGTTTGGGAGGCTGAGGCAGGAGGACTGGGCAATTTAATGAGATCCTATATCATAATAAAGGTTCTTTAAAAGGACTGGGACTAGCTGGGCGTGGTGGCTCACCCCTGTAATCCCAGCACTTAGGAGGCTGAGGCAGGAGGATCATTGTGAGTTCGAGACCAGCCTGGGCTACAAAATGAGCTGAAGGCCTGCCTGAACTGCAGAGCGAGACCCTGTCTCAAAAAGACAAAAAAAAAAAAGGGGGGGGGGGCTGGGGATGTACTTCAGTAGTGAAGTGCTGGCCTGACTTGGCATTCAGTTCCCAGTATTAACAACAACAACAAATAGCACTTTATACCTTTTAGATTGACAAGAACTAGAAAGCTGGATAATATCAAATGTTGGCAGCAATGTAAAAATACTGTAACCTCTGTCCTCTGCTGGTGGGAAGATAGACTGATATAAGCATTCTGGAGAGCCTTCTAGTGGTAAATTAACTTAAGTATATGCATATGCTTTAGCCCAGAATATGACTATTCTCCTTTATATTCATCACAAATTTGAGGGTAGCCTGGGCTATGTATCAGACTGGACTCTAGATAGCAAGTATCTATATTAAGAACAAACAACAAACCGAACCCCATCTCCCTCAGAGTTTGAGTGGATGCGGGTAATCTGAGCACTCAGGAGTCTGAGGTAGGAGGATCGATGTGAGTTTGAGGCCAGTCCAGGCTACATAGGGTTTAAGGCCAGCTTGAATTACAGAGTGAGACCTTGTCTCAAATGAACAAAAAGGAAAAAAAAATAGTTTTATTTCTCTAAAGTAAAAGAAAACATCAAGATTCTTAGATAGGCTTCAAAAACCATGAGCCACAAGATTAAAAACTGATAAACTTAACCAAAATTAAAATTTTCTACTCCTTAAAATATGTACTATACAGAGAATGAAAAGGCAGGCCACAGAATAGGAAAAGATTCAGTGCTCTAAATTACAGTATTCAGTACCTTCAACAGTTGTATATATTTGTATCCAAGGTACATAGTTTTTACAACTTTAGTAAGACTCTGTGCACCTTAATCAAAGATGAGTGATTTGAAGACACTTTATAGAACACGATAGAAGAATGACTCAAAGATTTGAAAATATTCTTAGCTTTATCAGTCATCAGGAAGTACAAAACCACAACATCACATTCATCAGAGTAGCTAGCATTTTAAAAACATGATAACAAATTTTTGTCAGGGGTGTGAAACCAGTAGAAGGCCTTGTGTATTGTGATTGCAGATGTAAAATGGTACACCCACTTTGGAAACTGGCTTGGAAGTTTCTCAAACCAGTAAACATACACTTGCCAAATGATACAGTTGCTCTAGTCAGAAGTATTTATGCAAGAAATATCCATCTACATAAAGACTTGTACGTCAGTGCTGATATCAGCATTATTCCCAATATCCCCAAACTAGAAAATACTCTAAATGTCTATCACTAAGTGGATGGACAGACAAAATGTGATATATCTATCCATACAGTGGAGTACTATTCAGCAGTTAAAGAAACAAACTTGAGACTTGGATAAATATGAAACTCATATTCTGAGCAAAAAAACCCCAAAAACCAAAACCCCAAGACAAAAAGAGTACATATTCTATGGCTCCATTTATATAAAATGGAAACTAATTATTAGTAATTCAAAAACAGATCAGTAATTACCTGGCGTGAAGAGTAATGGATTGTTAGAAGGGCACCAGGAATTTTTTGAGACTGATGGAAATGCCCTTATATCATATTGATTGTGGTGTTGGTTTTGGGAATATATATAACTGTCATTTCTTCAAATTAATGAAATTGTTATTTTTCAATTGGTAAGAATTAAACTTGTATGTATAAAAGAATTATGTATACAAACATGTTAAACAAATAGGATGATTACCTTGTAAAAGAAAGGTAAATGGTAAAGAGAGGAAATAAAAATTGCAACTCAGTATGATTAGATAATTGTTTTTGTATACCTCTAAATTGCATGATAATTAGGAGAATGGCCTTTGTTAGCAGGGGAATAAGTCCCTCAGGGAGCAAAATGGCCAACATGTACCCTAAGAGCCATGAAACATTGCTGTAAGAAATTAAAGAGTATTCAAATAGCCATATCACGTTCATGGTCAGAAGATGTCATTGTTAAGATATTGAATCTTCCCAGCTTGTTTTAGAACTTATATTCTCAACCAAAATTGCAGAAATCTCAGTTTTTGTCCTTTTTTTTAATTTGGTAGAGCATGACAACTGATTTTAAAATTTAGAATAGGAAACTTAGAATAGTTAAACCTATGTTGAAAGAGAATCAAGTTGAAGCATCTGCTTTCAAAATTCATTGTAAGGCTATAGTAGATAGAATGGTATTGGTATAAAGGTGGATGTATATATCTGTGGGTCAGAAAAGAGTCCAGGCATATATGGCCAGTTGAGTTTTGAAAATATGCCAGAGCAGTTTAATAGAACAATATAACTGTGTTCAACAAATGGTCACAAACAAAAAAAATGAACCTTGACTCATCATCTCTCTCCATATACAAAATTAACTTAAAATGAATCAAGTACCTAAAAAGAGCTAAAACTATAAAACTCATTGAACAAAATATTGGAGAGAAATCTTAGTTACCTTAAATTTGAAAAAGATTTCTTAAATGGGGAACAAAAAGCTTCTTCTTCTTCTTCTTCTTCTTCTTTTTTTTTTTAAATTTTGAAGCAGGGTCTCTGTGTAGCTCAGGCTGGCCTGGAACTTGCAATGATCTTGCTGCCTTAGTCTCCAGAATATATCGGCACACTCTACTGAATTTTAAAAATTAATATATTGTACCTTATTAAAAATAAAACCTTGCTAAGTGTGGTGGCCCACTTGTGTAGTCCCAACAGCTTCAGATGCCAAAACAGGAGGATCACTTGAGCCCAGGAGTTCAAGATCAGACCAAGTAATATAATGAGACCTGTCTTTTAAAATAAAGTAGAAGTTTTAGCTCTTCAAAATACACTGCTACAAAATTTTAAAGACAAGCCAAAGGCTGAGAGGAAGTTTTGCAAAAACATATACACAAAGGACTTATATTTTGAGTATGTAATGAACTCATGCAACTCAGAAGGAGATAAAAAAAAATCAAACATGGGCAGATACAAAAGACATTTCACAAAGTAGCTACACAGATCAAAAATAGGTAAGTGAAGAGATGGATAACAATTAGAAATTGGAAGAAAATACAAATTAAAGCCACAGTAAGATATTACACTGAGAAGACTATATCAAGTATTGGGGGTGATGTAGAGCAACCATTCTAGATTTATGCAGCTGATGGGAATGTAAAATGGTACAACAACTTTGAAAAACATTTGACAATGTTTTGAACATTGAATATTCACCCAGTATGCTGCTAGTCACTGCACTCAAAGAGAAGTAAAAACGTACGTCTGTTCAAAACCTTGTCTCTTCAAAACCTTGATTTTAACAACTGTATTTACAATAGCTCAACCAGCTCAAAAGATCCATCAATAGGTAAATAGATAAACAAATTGTGACTTATCCATATAGTGGAACATTGCTATTAAAATGAATGAATTATTGATACACATATGAATGTGAATGAATCTCAGTTATGCTGACAGAAACCAGGCATAAGCATTCATAATACATGATTCCATTTATGCAGAATTCCATAAAATTCAAACTTAAAATGATAAAAGCAGCCCAGTGATAGGTTGTGAAAAGAGGAAGGGTGGATTTAAAGGCATGAAGGAATATGAGATTGATGGATATTAAAATTTAAATCTGAAAAGCTCCTCAAAGCTCATGTATTCAGCTGTGGGGCTTATTGGTAGGGGACTAGATCATGGATGATTCTAGACTCCACCACAGGATTCATCATTGATGAGTTTACAGCTGAAGGTCCTGTTAGGAGGTGGGGCCCGACCAGAGTAGGTGAGTCACTGAGACCGTGACCTGGAAGGATGCATCCTCTTGAGCTCCTCCCTATTTCTACTTGTTGCCTGCTATAGGTGAAGCAGTTTTTCTCCACCACAGTCTTCCATCATGATTTTTCTGCCTCAGAGCCAGCTGACCATGGAGTGAACTCCCTGAACTGTGAGCCAAATAAACCTTTTAAATTTTGTTAAGTGTTGGGTGTTTTGTCCCAGTGATAGGAAAATGACTAATACAGTGTGTTCACTAGCTTAGTTGTGACAGTTTCACAGATTAATGTACGTATGTTACAGATACTGATGAATACATCAAAATTCACCAAGTCTATACACTTTGGATAGGGGCAATTTATGTTATTATAATTTGGTAAAAATAGCCAGGGAAAAATAATACCTTCAAAAGGACAACAATTAGATGGGTAATTGGCTTCTGAAGAGTAGCAATAAAAACTGGAAGTCAGTGAACTGTTTTTATTATTTTTAAAGAAAACAGCTGTCAGCTGGAATCTGTACGTGCCATGAAACCATCTTTTGAGAATGAGGCAGATACTGAAGAAAATTCACTACCAGCAAAAGGACCTTCAAAGGAAGGTACAGGAAGGAATGATAAACTGGTAAACCTTTGAGTAAACCTGCATAATATTGGCTGTATGCCACAAAAGGCAGTATTACTCAGTTAGCATCTGGCATCATAAAAGCCAAGAGATGGAGCTATACTACTAGTTGGTGATAGAATGTAAATGAAGAAGTCAGGGATACAGTGGGACGTACTTTACTTGTAATTTCAGCACTCTGAGAGGTTGAGGCAGAAGGGTCCCATGTTGGAACTCAGCTTGAGTGTTATCGTTTGGACCAGAAGTGTTCCCCAGACATCTTAAGGTTTCAGAGCGGGGCGTCTGGAAGCAGTGACTAGGTCATGGTGTGCTATAACTTCTGAATGGATTGTGGGCTAATCCACTGATGAGTTTACAGCTGACTGTGCTGTTATGTGGTGGCACCTGGAAGAGGTTGTGACCTGGAAGGGAATATCTCCCTTCCTGCTTCTCCTTTTGCTAGGGATGTCATGACATCATGGACTGTCATCATGAGCCAAAATAAACCTCACCTCCATTAAATTATGGGTGTTGGTATTTTGTCCCAGCGATACGTGATTTAAGACACTGGGTAACTTAGTGGGATCCTGTTTTAAAGTATAAAACAAGGGCTGGGCATGTTGCTTAGTGCAAAGTGTCGAGTTCAATCCCCAGTCATGCATCCCCCCACCTGCCAAATTGAGGGGTATCGAGTTAAAGCATTTTTGTTACATTTGTTAGTATGGTGAGATGTATCAATTCAGTTAGGCTTTGTTAAGGTAAATATGCAGATGAGATGTCTAGGCTAGTTACTACAAGAAAGATAATTATATCAAGTATATAAAATCTAGTAAAAGGAAAGTATTGTGAGAAAAAATAGGCAGGAAGTCAATAAGAGAAAAAGTGTTGAAGGATGAGGCCAGTGAGTAACATGTGAAACTAAAAGCTGAATGTACGGTGCTGTAGTCAGGGAGCTGTGCTCGTCAGAGACAGAATCTCTGAGCCAAGCAGAGTGCTGTCTTTTTTAAAAAATGTTTTTATTTTTAAGAGAATAAAGCCAAACAAAACAGAATAAAGCCAATCAAAACAAAACAGTGAAAGCAAAATAAGATAATAAGAAATCAACAATGGCTGCCTTGATGCCTCTTGTTCTCTTCAAAATATCTGCCCATCCATGAGACCTCATAAAATCAAATAAAACAACAGAATAAAACCAATAAAAACAAAACAGGGCACTATCTTTTATAGCAACAGTGGTTCTTAAAATTTGATTAGAAGTACCATATTCGTACATTAGTAATGAGATGCTGACTGCCTGTGGTGCTATCTGCTAGCACCATAGGACTAATCAAACCAGGAGCCCCCAATTGTATTAATTGTCATTGTATTTTTTTTCCTATTTTAGGTGGTTTTTTTTGTTTGTTTGTTTTTAGTTTTTGTACCGGGGATTGAACTCATGACCTTGCATTTGCCAAGCAGGCACTTACACTGCTGAGCTAAACCCCCACACGTGTTTTTTTTTAAAGCCAGTTTTACTTAAGAATACTATTGATGAAACATCTTATTAAAATTTGATTTGTGAATATGGATCATTTTATTCAAATGCAATGAAATGTGAAATATATATAAAGTACTACAGCACTCATAGTAATTTTTTTTTGTCTCAAGGAAAAGCACTCTGAATTGTACTAAAAACTTAGCTGCTCTTTTGAAAACATAATTTTTACTTAAAATGATTGATAGGTATGCTTATGCTTATCTAGGTATGTGTATTTGCAGACTTTTTCACAAAAACGAAAGAAGTTAGTTGCCACTTCAAAGGGAACAACTGACTTTTTTGTGGAGACAACATTTGAGCTTACAAGTGAAAATTAGAATTCTGAAAAACTTGTATCTGCTGCCACGAGCTTGATGTCTCAATATTTAAATATTTTTCTGATAATATCAGTAGCACTGTTAACAAAAGTGTTGTTTTGCTAGTGTATAATTATGTGAAACATTGGAAGATTGTGTAACTCAGTGAATCACTGATACCCAAATAACTACTCTTTTGATACTGTGAAATTAGAATGGATGAAAGAGCCAAAGTATAGATAAAGCAATAGATTTTTTTTTTTAAATTTTTGAAGATAGTAAAATACAACAGAACAAGACAGAACAAAGCCAATTGAGACAATGCAGTGAAATTGATACAGAACTTCAGAACAGGTTACCGGGATAACAGTAACAGGTACCGTAGTATATCTCGTTACCTTCACAATAGTTGTGTTTTCAATCAGGTATAGCAAAGTCAAATCAAAACATTATAGAACTTATCAAAACAATATTCAATAGAACAATACAATTAATCAGAACAAAGCCAAAAACAAATATTTGCCTTCAAAGAGATGGTAGAAGGAAATCCCCGTATTTGCTGTATTGCATAGGGTCAACCTCCCAAGAGATGCTCAGGCCTCTGGCTCCCATTTGCTAACTGTGGGGGTAAAGGGAAGGACGGGATGCTTGATTCTCAGCCCGTGTGCCAGTAGGCTCACAGCTGCTTACCAGGGAGGTGAGCGGGTTGCTTTCTTTCCCAGCGCCTCAAGTTCCAACATGGTGTGTTCTTGGGAGATGCTAGCTGGTTCTCTCCCTGAGGCATCCCCAGCAATGGATTTTAAAATTTTTTATTAGTTCATATTTACAGTACATAATGATTACATTCATTATGGGGAGTCGATACATGTATGTAACATACCTTAATTCATTTTGCTTTCTCTTCTCTTCCCTCCTGCTGTCTTCATTGCTTAGTCCTTTTCTCATTTGTAAAAGACCTATCCTCCCTATAGCTATTATCTGTCTTTTATTTTACTCTTTAAGTTATTTATACTTTGAGGGCAGTGGATTTTAATGTAACAGGGTCTGAAAATGTTCATCCGTGTACAGTCATTCCTCAGTGATTGTAGTTAATTCTTTCCAGAATTTGTGATGGGTGTCAGACTGACAAGTACTGAACAGATTTTTCCCATATGAAAAAATGTAATTAGAAATAACTCATTAAAGTTCCTCATGACTTTCACGTTTTACTGGACTAATAATATGGTCTTTTACTCAACTAATATAAGTCTTTTAGGCTTTGCAGCACATTCCTAACCTTGTGACCCATGATTAGCATCTCAAATGCACAAAAGAACAAAAGAAGAATGAGGGCTGTGTCAGGGCTTTGCACTGTTACTGAGTGACCCTGAGACTGATGCTGGTCCCAAGTGCTAAAACATTTTCTCATCAAAATTTAACAGGTACAAGATTTGATGAGTCCTGAAGTCCACAAGTAATGATGTCTGAATATTGTTCTAGATTCCGTATTATGACTAACCTATAGGAAACTATTAGTGTTTGAGTTTTGGTTAGTATCTAAGCAGGGTATCCAGAATCATTTGAAGAGGTTAGTATAATGCTCTTTCCTTTTTTGTTTAATCTATGAGAGGACAAAATTTACATATTCTGTACTTTGTTCCAAACAATTTATGACATACTGCATGTGGAAGCAAATAGAGCCCAGATTTTTTTTTTTTTTGTCTTTTTCCTTTTTATCGGTACCAGGGATTGAACTCACGACTGCCTGCTTTCAAGGCAGGCGCTTATGCCACTGAGCTAAATCCCCAGCCCTGAGCCCAGATTTTTTTCAGTAAACTGGACATAAAAAAGATTTACAAAAGTGTAAAATGCCATTCTTGTCTGAACAATACTAGCACAAATCTTTCTCTTCAGTGAACTCAGAGAAATCAGTAGTATAACTATCTTCTTTCTACATACATACGTATATACATGTTGTTTCTTTTAGCTTCTAACACTGAGACAATACAGTGTTTACATATATGTGTCTTATTTATTTCACTAATGAGTATGGTCCCAGGTTGCACCCATTCACCTGTAAAAGTGTCCAGTTTATCCTTGATAGCAGAGTAGTATTCCTGTTGCATAAAAGTACATCTTTTTTTATCTAATTAAAAAATTTTTTATTTTAATGATGTAAAATCCAACAAAACAAGACAGAACAAAGCCAATAAGACAGTGCAGCAGAATTAGTACAGAGTTTTAAAGCAGGATACTGAAAAAAAAAATAATAGCTACCATAGTATATCTTGTCTTTACAATAGTTATCCATCCCATCAGGTATGGCAAAATCAAGCCAAAAACAAAACACTGTAAAACCAATCAAAAGAATTACCACATCTTTTTTTTTTTTTTATCCATTCCTCAGTTGATGGGTAATTTAGATTGTTTGCAAGTTCTGGCTATTACAAATTGTGCTGCTGTAAATACGGGTGCACATATATCACTGTGCTATGATGTTTTTAATTCTTTTGGGAAGATACTCAGAAGGGGACTAGCTGGGTTGAATGGGACCTTCAATCCTAAAGTTTTTTGAGGAGTTTCCACACTGATTTCTACAGTGCTTGCACCAGTCTGCATTCCCACCCCCAGTGGAGAAGGGTTCTTTTTCCCCACTGCCCCTCCAGTATTTGTTATTGGTAGATTTCTTGATAACAGTCATTCTTTCTGGATGAGGTAGATTCTCAGTGTTGTTTTAATTTGCAGCTCTCAAATGACCAGTAATGTTGAACATTTTTTCCTGTATTTATTTGCTGTTTGTACTTCTTCATCTGAGAAGTGTGTGTTCATCTCAGATGCCTATCTTTCTATTGGGTCTTTAAATCTGGGAGGACTGATTTTTTTGAGTTCTTTATATCTTCTTGATAGTAATCCTTTGTCTGAGATACAGCTGGCAAACATTTTCTCCCACATTGTGGGTTTGTCTCTTCACTCTGTTGGTGGTTTCTTCTGCTGTACAAATGCTTTTTAGTAGGGTGAGATCCCAGTTGTTGATCCTGTGTGATAGTTACTGTGCAGTCGGGCTTTTGTTCATAAAGTCTTTGTCTATACCAACGTTTTCAAGAGTGCAGAAATATACGTATACTACATTTCTGTTGTTTACTTTTAGTGTAGTGTTCACTAGGTTATATGAGATATGCAGTGCTTTATTACTGGATAAATTTTGTGTCAGATAGTTTTGCCCAACTTTGGTGGGTGGTATAAGTCTCCTGAGCATGTTTAATAAAGTAAGCTAGGTTAAGCTTTGATATTTGGTAAGAGATAAAGTTTTATGTGTGTGTGTGTGTGTGTGTGTGTGTGTGTGTGTGTGTGTAGTTTTTTTTGTTTGTTTGTTTGTTTGTTGAGATGTTCCAGGCTGGCCTCGAATTCACAGTAATCCTCTTGGCTCAGCCTCCCAAGTGCTGGGATTATAGATGTGCACCATCATGCCTGGTTAGGTTAGGTAAATTACATGCATTTTTAACTTAATATATTTTTAGCTTAATTATGGTGTCTCATGCCGTAACCTTATTATTATTATTATTATTTTGTCTTTTTCGTATTTATCAGTACCAGGGATTGAACTCATGACTGCCTGCTTGCAAGGCAGGCGCTTATGCTGCTGAGCTAAATCCCTAGCCCCGCTGTAACCTTATTGTACATTGAAGAACATCCATAGTTCTGATGGTTACTTCTTGATACTGGAAAAGAATAATGGTGGCTAGTGATATAGCTTAGTAGTAGAGGATTTGCCTTGTATGTATGTGCAGGTTCTTGGGTTTGATCCCCAGTACCATACCACTGTCACCACCCAAGAGAGAAAAGATAGTGCTTTCCTAGGTAGTTAGGAATCTTTTATTCTCAATTGAAAATATGGGAAAAAGTAAGCAATACAACTCTTATAACACGATATGAAGACAACCTCATTTTTCAAATGGACCAAGAATATGAATAGTTACGTTTTCAAAGAACATATATAAATCCCTGACCTAGCAATATTTGGGTTGCAAACTTTCACTAGTGTGTTGTACAAGACTCACTTTGTCAGACCTAGGAATGAATCCAACATATGAATGTCCCCCCGGAACTCCTTCCTAAATTGGGAACTTACTGACAAAGTCAATAGCATACGAAAAGATATTCTGGGTTGGAACTTGCAACGATTCTGCCGTCTCAGCCTCCCAAGTGCCGACATTACAGGCATGTGCCTTATCCTCTACCAAGGGTCACACTTATCTCCTTTAAAGACTGCTACCTTGCAGAATTCCCTTAAAACTGCTTCAATTTAGGGTGTGATGCCACCATTACTGTAGAAAGGGGCAGGACATTATATATATATTCATATTTGAACATATGTATGCATGCATATTATATCTGTACTTACATACAGGAGTAGTAAGTATATAAAATAATTCTGAAACTGTGGACTTAAAAGATGTAATGACCTTAGGTGCCTTCCAGGAAGAAAACTCATAGCTGGAAACAAGAGTAGGTGACAAATGCTGAAAAGAAGAAAGGACTGTAGGATGAAGGGAGATGGAGACCAAATCCCAGTAAACTGACAACTAAGGAAGGAGCAAGTAAGGCAGTGTGGGAAGAAGGCTGAGAAGGAGCAGCCAGAGAGACAGAAGAGAGTCAGAGGGAAAAAGTTTCAAAGGGGAAGTGGTGCGTAAGTGTGGATGTGCCATTTGACCCAGCATGTCCACTCCCAGGAATTCATCTCATTGTTTATTTGCAGCATTGTTTTTAAACACTTTTTTTTTTTAAATCGATACCAGGGATTGAACTGACTGACCATGTGCTTGCAAGGCAGGCGCTTATGCTGCTGAGCTAAATCCCCAGCCCCTGCAGCATTGTTTTTAATAGTAAACATTTGGAAGCAGTTTGAAGTTGTCATTTGTAGGACACAAGTTACTCCATGGTAGTTCCCCTGTCCAATGAGTGCTCTGCACCTGCAGAATGAGGAACTAAATATCTTGCTGGTATGGAAAGAGTTCTACAATCACTGAGTATAAAAAGCAAGGATTAGGAGTTTTATTTGGGGCTTAGAATATTTTTAAACCTTCATCACTTTTCTTGATGGATATTGAGGGTGTTTATATTCTTTATTATTGTGTAATACAGGTTTTTAGTTTGTTTTTTTTCTGAGCTGTAGTTAGGATGAGCGTTCTTATCATAAGTAATATTTTTCAAAATCAGAACGTCACGTTATTAAATGTCCTCTTCAGGCCAGAGAGAGTCATCTCCTGTGGTTTTGTGCCTGCTGCCAAGTGCCTTTATAAGGTATTTCAGTGCGTTTTCATGGGGCTTGGATATGTAATAGTCACACTGAACCACAAGAGGGCAGAAGAACCTTTCCATTGCCTTAGCCCAGGTTTGTGCTGTATGTCACTTCTGGCCACTGCATGTATGAGTCCTTAAGCACCTAGAAGGCAGGCCCAGTGTCCTAGTCATCATCAGAGGCAGTAGAGGAGCAAAGAGAAAAATGTGGCATGTATACCTGCCTTCTGTTCTCACCTCCTGCAATTACTTAGTGAACTATACTAGTTAACCTCTGGAGCTTGAGTATGCAAATACATTGGAGGCATTATGGTATAATAGAGATAAGAGTTGAGGGTTTGAAGTCCTCCCCATCCACCATTGAGTTCTGGCTCTATGGTTTTGGGTCATGTATTTGCTTACCATGAACCTATATTTTATAATCCAAACAGAGCTCTTAGCACTTGTTATAGTGAGTACTCAAGAATAACTGCTATAATAATACCAGGAACCAGCAGAAATAAATAATAGCTCCACAGTGATTCTTGATATGCGGCTCTTAGCTATGTACTTCATAATTTCTTTGTTCAATTATAAGCGAGATACGATATTTTCTTTGAGACAGTTTCAAAGCTTTTCTCCAGAAGAACTCACAAAAATCTATGGCCTCTCTCTTTGTTTTTGTTTTTGAAATAGTCATTTAATAGTACATTTTGAATTTTTACAGAGTTGCAATCTTAAGTCTTCTGTCCAATTAAGATTTTTGTGTATTTTTGATGGGAAAATAAGATACTTACGGCAGATACTAAGGCAGAGTTAGGCAGCATGATATCACATTAAGGAATAGTGCCTGTCTCAGGTTGAGATCAGGAGAAGCAAATTCTAACATAGGATTAGTATGTGACAAGATTGCTAGAGTGGTTATGGGATCAACGGCTCTGGAAGAAAAAGAAGAGGTTGGGGAAGGGAAGAGAAGATTACACAGAAGGAGAAATAGAGCTGATTCAGATTCAATAAAAGCCTTAGTCCACCTGATGGAGACCATAAATTGGGATGGAGTTGGGGTTGTACTTTTATAGTTATCTGACCAGTCATTGAATACCTCTGGTGATTGGGTGAGGGCAGCCCCGGGGCCACGCAGTGCTCTTCAGCCAAGATACTTTCTGAAGCAGGCTGGCAGCTGAGGGCTTTCTGTCCACTGTGATCCCAGCAGCTGGATAATAAATCCTTCCTTTCTCCAGGGAAGGTGAGAGTGGCACGTGCATACCATAGTGCCCAAATCACCTGAAAGGAAACCAGGAAACCAGTAAGATGGTATGTTAGGCCATTTGTGTTGCTATGACAAAATATCTGGTAATATGTAAAGAAAATGATTTATTTGTCTCACAATTCTTGTAGCTAAAAAGTCCAGACAGCGTGGCACCAGTATCTGACAAGGACACCCTGGCTGTGTCATAGCATATCACATGGCAAGGGAAGAAGCAAGAGAGCAAGCCTAGAAGGCCAAGCTTGCTTTGTTACAGCCTGCTTTCATAATAGCTAAGCCAGTCCCTTGAGATGGGCAGCCATCCTTCTGAAGGTATATGCCATCGTGACCTAATTACCTTCTATTGCCTACCTCTTAAGGGTCTCACTTCCTTTCAGAACCATTGGGAATAAACATCCAGCACATGAACTTGGGGACAAATTATATCCACACCACAGCACAAGGCTAGTATAGGATCAGAGATGATAGCTATATATGGAATTGTTTGGAAGTAATACTTGGGAATAATGGTTATTTTTAACTTTAAAGGATTTGGGGTAATATTGTAGTTCGGGTGGGCACTATTATAACAAATTATTCCAAAATTTTAATGATTTAATACAGTAAAGGTTTATCTCCTGTCCCAGTCTGGTGCGGGTCTGTGTGGTTGAGGAAGATTCTGTTCTTCCTTGATTCTTTTAGGGACCCGCACTCCTTCTATCTAGTGATGTTGGGCCGACAGTTCTCTACTGGATCTTCCAAACCAGCTGTCAGAGGTGAAAGCACAGGAGTAAGATGAATTGTGTAGATCTGTGTGGGCTGGGCCTAGAGGTCAGAACCATCACATGACCTGCCTAATTGAGGGAGGGCTTCAGAGGACATCTGGCTCTCACTGTGGCTGTGTTACTACCTCTGGCTGTAGTACCGTTTTGTCACAGTTGATGACCACAGACACTGAAAACCGTATGTTGCAAATTCCCCAGCATTTTTAAAGACTTAAATTGCCACCTAATCGAAATTGTAAATGACTCTTGAACCCCCTTGCTTTGAATAAATAACAAATGAGTTTCATATTGTTTGGTTCAGAAGGTACTTAAGTATTTTATAATAACATTTCCCCTTTGCTTTTTGATTATAGGATATTGTTAGATATTAGTCAACTCTGTCAATATTACCTACACCATAGAATTATTACAATCGCTGACCGCTATTGGAATTTTTTAGGTTTGTTTCTTTCAAGTTCTATCATTTCTGTATTGTGAATAGTTGACAGTACGATATCTTTTTTGTCTTTCCAGTCATAACACAAACTTTTCCTCTCTAATATACTAATATTTCTCCCTTTTTCAGTTTTTTTTTTTTTTTTTTGGCAGATCTTTTGGCATCTCTTTCCTATTCAGTCTCAGTGTCACAAACATGTCTGTTTTGTATTGTAAGAGAATATCACTGAGTTCTGGAGAAGTATAAAAATTATATCTAATGTAGATAATAGCACAAACATTATAGGTTATTTTTCACAAACATGAATTAGTAAAAGAAAATAACTAGAACTTGCTATTAGGTTTCACTAGAAACAACCATCAAAGGTGAATACAGTGTTCTAAATAAAAAAGTATATGGAAAATTGACAGTGTAAAACAAAAATGCAGTGGCACAGTGCCTGCCTGGCAAGTGCAAGGTCTTAAGTTCGATTGTCAGTACCAAAAAAGGAAAAACAAAAACGTTCTCACTGTGTTGTTCAGCTGCCCAGTTTCAGCTCCACCTGTCCATCCTCCTGCCTCAGCCTCACTGTGTTTGGTTGACTGTTGTTCACTATCTTGGGTGACTTTGTCTTCTGAATGTGTGGGCTCTTTCCAAACAGTCTGAGCAGTTGAAAACATCACTTGTTGCACTTGTCTGGGCTCCTAAGGCCCTGTTCCTCATCTGTCTCACAAGAATCAGTAGTAAATGAAATGAAAGAAAATAAATTTCAGCTCATTGGAGCAGTCACATGACAAAGTTCTAAAGCTTAAGACGAATGAGGTGGAGAGCATGAATTGTTAGCATCAGACTTTGACAATTGTTTCAGCTTTCGTATTCTTGTCCTTGGAAATAAGGAAGCTTTAAAAATCACATGCAGTTTGGCCGTGTTCTGTGGAAGTGAACCAGCATCTTAGGTGAGACTCATATCAGATTTTAAGAATTTATTTTAATATTTAATAACTAAGAATATAATTATGGCAATAGTGTTCTGAAAGCAAAATTAAAGGTAAAGTTACACTGATTAACTCAGTTAATAAACCACAAATCGAGTTCTGAATGTTTTTAGCTTGATTATGAGGGTGATTTGAGTGATTTTACAATGTGTATAAAATGTATTGGGATGTCAGTTTTACACAGCTCATTAATGCTTTATTTTTCCTTTAGTTTTCTTTACTTCTTAAATGATATCATGTTTATAATTTATTTCCTCACTATCCTCTCATAAGTTCCAAATCAGTAGCATTGAAAGAGCCCATTGTTGTCTGACATTTTCAGTGATACTTAGTTTTTCTATTTGAGTTTTAGTACCTAGCGTGTCTGACTGTAATCTATGGCTCTTTACCTAGGAACTGTGAGCATTCTTGAGGATTTTGCAAGGCTGTATCTTCCTCCAGGCAGGGTTTCATTTGGGCACCTCATCCACCACTTTCAAAGTTAAAAATTCGCAATTCTTCTGAAGCAGACATTGTTGAAATACAGATATTCGGCTGTATTGATCTGCACTCATGACTTTAAAAGATATCTTGTCTTTTAAAAAAATCTACTTATTCCCCAGTGTACTTAGAGCCCTCTTTTCGCTTCACAGCTGCTGTGGGAAGGGTCATTTCTACTGTCCCTTTGCTGTTCACTTCACTCACAGAGAGTCCTTGTGAGCCTGCTTAGTTTAGGGCCCAGGAGTCTGCACAGAGTGAGTTCTGGCCCAGGATTCTGGTGCTTGGCCCATGCCCAGGGCGGGACTGGAGCTCCTGTTTGCTGTGCTCTTCAGGACTTTCTGGATGAAAGTGACGGCAGCTCAGGCAGGCTTGGTGACAAACAATAAAACTGGATCCCAAATTTTTCCCTTTCTTTTGTCTTTGGTTTTTTCTCTCCCCTCTCCTGCCTCTTCTCCCTGCTTTCCTTTTTTGCTTCATTCCTCCTGGAGCCTGGCCTGGTTTGTGGACAACCCAATGCAAATAGGTGTTTCCATCACTCTGCAGGAGGCTCTGACTGGACTTGCAGGAGATGGAGGCCAGCTCTCCAGGTGTGATAGACAGAGAGAGTGGGGTCTGGGACAACAAAACATCTCCTGTGGATCCTAAAAGTATAAAGGAGAAATGCAACATCACATACAAACATGATGCGTTTTTAATCTTTTCTAGAGTGTCCTTCAGAACATCCTGAGTTCTAACTCTGTGATCATGTATTTCATCAGTTGTTGTTTGTCAAGGAAGTATCTTATTTCCCCATTAATTTTGAAAGATAGTTTTTTAGAGACTATTAGCTTGGAATGAAAATTTTGGGGGTGAGCTGCTTGATGTCCTTCACTCCAAGGTGCCCTAGATTTGAGGATTTGTGTCAAGAAGTCAGTTGTGATTATGATGGGTTTCCTGTATAGGTACTTTTTCCTTTTCCCTGGTAGTTTTTCAGATTGTATTCTTGAACTGAATTTCTTGAATCCTGACCCTCTTGTGCCTTGCTGTAGATTTGTTGGTCATAACTAGAGTTCTATATGGCTGACTCATACATACGCCATATTCTTTTTCCTTCGCAGGAAAGTTTTCTGTCATGGTGTCTCTGAGCAGTCATTTTTGTTATTTATGCTATCTCCTGCTTATCCCACTAACTGTAATCATTCTTATTTTGTTCTTCTTCACATGATACAGCAGCATCTGGATTGGCTTATTCTGCTGCTTACACTTTCAATGGTAGTTTCAATCTCCTGAATATCTCCTTGAATCTCTTTTATGAATTCCATTATATATCTATGTTGGTCTTTATGGCTTCTCTCATTTTCCTAAGTTCCTCCATTTTAAATCTGTATCTGCTGTGGGGTAACTAGGGATGTTTTTCATTATGGTCACTATATGTGGGTTATCTGTGAATTTATTTCTGATTTGATTTGATCTAGATTCTTGTTGATTTGCTTTGTTGTTACCACTTCAGACAGTCAAGAGAGGTGGCTTTTGCATGTTCCCACCCCATTTCCCCCTTGGCTTGCCTTTGTTTCACTGATTATCTGGAGTTGCACCTTGTGGAATTGTCTTCTCACTGTCTATTTTTATTTTTCTCAGCTTAATTCTTGGGTTGATGCTTATAAATCACCTATGGTGGAAATCCTGACTGCTATTATTTAGAACCTTTAGGAAATGACTACTCAGAAGTGTCTTCTAGGTGTAGACAGCTTTTGCATTGTGAGTGTGTTGTAAGATCCTGCTATTCAATTAATGAGGTTAGTAGTTTCTGCCTACTTGACCCATTTCCTGGTCCCTTGACACTGGTCCACAATGTTTTCAGTGCCCCTTATGCAATATCAGCCCTGGTTTTCCAGGCAGAACAGCTGGTTAGCACAATTATGTCACCTTGGCTAAAGTGGTATATTCACAATTTACAGTAGTGTCAGACAAAGCCTAGCAAAATGTCAACTTGAGGTAACCACAAACTTGTCACCTTTACTTGTGTGAGCTTGATTTTTGGCTATATTACAAAACCGTTTTTGTGTGTTTGTGTGTCTGTTTTTCCTTTTTATCAGTACCACGGATCAAACTGACGACTGCTTGCTTGCAAGGCAGGCACTTACACCGCTGAGCTAAATTCCCAGTACCTTATATTACAAAATCTTAAACGAATAGAAAAATGTATGCAGTGTATAAACTCTAAATATATTAATGTAAATTTCAGAGGAGAAAATGTAAGAGCAGTTAGTAGAAAAAATAGAGAAACAGATGGAAAGGAAGAGATTAGAAGCAGGGCTGGTAGACAAAGGAGAATCACTCCAATTTTCAGAACGTGGTGCAAAAGATAGGAAGGAAAGAGCAGAAATCAGAGAATGAAAAGAACAGAACCTCCACCCCAAGAAAACTGGAAACCATGTTTACATTCATATAAAAAAAATCAAAAGAAAAAATAAGTCATGGTAGATAGAGAGATAAAAGCTCTACTCCCAGTTGTGTCTCTGCTATCACTAGTAGAGACTATGTAGAGACAGAGTCCAGATCCATGTTGATTTATCTCACCAAGCCAGCAGTCACTTTATGCTGAGGTGGTGTATAGACTCAGCGAGCCTCAACTTTATTTTCCCTGAAGCTCAGGATGGTTTCTGACCTTGAGGCTGATACCAGACTTGTTCAGCCTGTAGCAGTCGGTAACATTTCTGTGGGCTTGAAATTAGGTGGGAGCCAGTACATGGAGGCACAGTTTTTCTCAGTCAGAAGCTCAGTTGTTTCCTCTGCAAAATGTCTCCTTCCCAAACACAGATGACCAAATCTGTATCACTCACCAGGCAGTGCAATCCACAGTCTAATGCACTTTGTGTGTCTGTGAAGGTCTCTGGGGTTGCCATCAATCACCCTGTGTTTTCACATTAGAAGTTTTCCTTCCCCAGGGTGAGTCCTGACACAGTGACAAGGCACTGCCCATCACTCGCAGTCTCCTCTTTATGAGCTCTGTAAAATCATCCCTGTGCTTTGAGCTCCTGGGCCAGATTAGTGTGTGGGTCATGCAGCATTTATCTTAATGCAAAATTGAAGGAAGGATGCCAGTATTCCTTGGGTCATCTGACTAGCATCTTGATTGAAGAATAAATAATACCAAAATTAATATAACAACTTCAATATGAAAAAACAGATTTCACACAAGAGAGCAACGTTTTAGATAAAGTAAAATATTGATTTTTTAAAATTTCAGTATATTTTGCTTAATAACTACAGTTATAGCTATTTTACACTGTGGCTATGTAGTATTTGAGGAACGATCTGATTGTGTGTGTTTGTGTATGAGTTTCTCTCTGTGGGTGTGTGCTTGTGTGTGTTTTGTCAGTAGTTGTATTCCGCGGCCAGAATATTCAGTGACAGCAGAATCCCATGCCTATAATGTCAGAGCACAGACAGCAGAGCTTCGGTGCGTATGCTCTAATAGACTGAAGATGAGGAGGATGGGAGGTGCCGTTCAAATGATGGGAAGAGCCCTGGGGATCCAGCGCAAGGAAGAAAACAAATGGTCTTGCACACTATGTTCCTTCTGAGGCTGTTTCCGACAGATGAAATAGGAATAACGGTACACTCGAGTCATCCAGTGACTCAGAGGTCCAATGTTGTGCGATAATCAATCTCTTCTGTAGTCATTAACCTGGTAACAGGATGGTGAATAAAATATTTCAGTATGTTTGAAAGATGAAATCTGAGAAAAGATCTTCCTAGGAATTTGCAGTGCATGAGAATGACCAGGAGGGGGCAGCACGCGCACATTTCTTTGTAAAGTAAAAAGCTTCCACTTGCCTGGGAAAAATCTGATCCCAAGGAAGAAAGAGGAACAGCTGGGGCTCTATAGTAGTTTACACTGGTGCCCTACAGTATTTGCACAAGTGTTTGCTTTGGTGGGCGGGTACAGAAATTAAACTCAAGACTTTGAACTTGTCACATAGGCAAGGGGCCACTGAGCTGAGTTGTGTCCCCCGCCCTCATACACTTTTGTGTAGATTTTTTTAAACTTACATAACACGTAACCATTGCTTTATAAAAGTTATTTTAAGAGTCTTCCAACTACATGAGGAAAATCTCTGATTCTGGGGGAGAAAAGCGTCAATGAGGGCTTCATTGTATTTGTATCACTTCTCATCAATATTTGCACAACTAGGATGTGAACTTGCACATTATATTCTAAAAAAACAACGCTACACGCGAGACATCCGGCTCTTCACAGCTTCAGTGCTCTGGGATACTGCAAAGGGATCTGCGCTTTTCAAAGCAGAGTGCAGGGGAGCAGAAACAGGCCCCCTGCAAGCCAGTGTCCTTGAGTTTCTGTTTGTGCTCAGATCCTGCTACAGTTCCTGTTACTTCAGTTTCTTAGAAAAGGCAGGTCACTGTGATGCATAGCTGGTCACTGGGATAAGTATTGCAAGAACCAAGCAAAGACAGCCAAGTGCTTTACCTCTGTATTTACACTTGGTAACCCCATAAAAATCTTTCTCCCTAAGCCGTTGTGGCTGACATTGTTACAGGGATTGACTCCTTGTCATTGACAATAAGTGCAAATAAATCTGCATCTGAATCTTGTGTGTTCATTTGGTTTTTCTATTTGCCATAGCAACAGCGTGGTAGAAACAAATTGAAAAGAATACAAAGGGAATGTTAGCAATTTTCCGTGAAACTTGTCCTTCAAAAGCTGACCAACAGGTGGCAGCAAAGAGTCATCTGTTTTACAAACAGTTTGGGAAGTCTTGCCATTTCCAGAAAGAGTTGTGATTTTCTAAGTGACACAGTGGTTCCGCCATTTATAACAACCTGCGCTGAAGGACATTTCTAAATTCAATCAACACTTTAATCATACATTTGTGAAAGAAAAAGAGATTCTTAAAACACTATCTTGACTCTAGGGTCTCAATTTCTCATCCTTCCTATGTGTCCCCCTGTCTCAGTGTCACTCTGTCTCTCTGCTTCTGTCCTTGTCTCTGTCAGTTTTCCCCTCTCTCTCTCCTTCCCACAGGTGACTCCTACTCTACAGTCTCCAATGTGCGTTTCCCCTTGTGTCCTGACTTCTGAGAATTGGGCTGCCTTTTAAGGACCAGTCTGTCCTCATCTACTTCCCCTCATTTCCTGGTGACCTCACCTCTATCCCTATATTTGCATCTCCAGTTCACATCACTTCCCAGAGCTCCAGAATCCCACGTATGCAAGTGTTGAGTGGCGGTCCGGGGCCATCTCAGTATTGGAAATATGTTCCACTGCAAGCCCTTATTTCCCCTTGTTTCCCAGTGTTGCTTTTTCTGCCTTCCCATCGAGGGAGGCTTCATAGCAAATTATAAGCAGTGTTTGATTTGGTTTTCTGTCTCAGTTCATGTCCAGGATGACAGAAATTCTATTTCTTGTTACTTTAAAATATTACCAGAATGTACCCATGTTTCAAAAAATCTAGCACGGGGAAATAAAATCACATGATGACTTGGAATATGGCATTAGAGGAAATTTTTAGTGTCTACTTTGTAAGCTGTCTGGAAGACCATGAGGAGCAAACAGGCGTCAACACTGCCTATTATCAGTCTTCACTTGTCTCATGTTAAATATAAGTTTGAGGATAGCAGTTGTCACAGAAAGGAAGAAGTGGAGCCTATTGAGATTTACCAGTTTTCATGAGGATGAGGGGGAGGTGTGAGGTACCTGCTTTTATGCTGGAAGTATTAGTTCTGCATGTTTTGTTTGCCTATAAAATCTTGGAAACAAAGATCCTTGTGGAGACTAAAATTGCGTATGTGTTGGTGATGGGGAACAGAGGCAAAAATTTGCCATAAAATGCAAGACAAACTGCTACTAATTTCTGTGAGAAATTTTGTGAGGATTTGTTTGACCCCTGATTGGTAGCTGTATTCCTGGATATCACGAAATAAGGATCACTCATCCCCAGGTTACGATGAGGCCGAATCACAATTTAGTTGCTCAAGTTTGTCATGCTACATTGATTAGAGAGATGTCACAGGACTGCCGTTACTTCAGGCCAGGATCTTTACTCACCATGGACTCCTAAGACCAAGAGCCATGAATGAGCATCACTTCCCAGTGATCCATAGAGTCATAGAATATCTAACATTGCAATAACGGAAGTGATCCCTTTAATTCTGTCATCCTGAAGTGGGCACAGCATCCTGGGAATCCCAGATTGGCTGAACGGACAGTGCATGGGGATTGTATTCCACTGGATTTTCACATGATACGAGAAAGTGCAAGAGAAAGTATCTACCTTAGAATCCATTTCTACCTTGTTATTATTTTTAGCTACATTCATGGTTAATTTGGTTTAGTTTTTTTTTTTTCAATTTCATAAAACACCGAATGTTTAAGCCACTACAATCCTCTGGAATCTAGCTCCATCTTTCTCTCTCTGTGTCAGGGCCCTCAGCAGAGCACAGGTCTTGGCTGCTCTGCTGTTTTCCTCAGTCTCAGGCCCAGCCAGAGGCATCAGCTGCAACTTGCTGTTCTGATTCTTCAACCCCTTCCTCTCACACAGAGCAGGCTGTGCTGTGCTGCTCCCCAGACAGCAGTGCAGGAGGGCAGCTGGGCCTCCCCAGGCAGGGAGGTTTGTGTTCAGGGCTGTAGCACAGTGCGAGGAGCATGTGTACCTTGATAACAGTAATAAATTCCAGAATCTTCTGGTTCCACTTTGCTGATTTTGAATGTGAAATCTGTCCCTGACCCACTGCCACTGAATTTCCCTGGAGTCCAAGATTCCCGATTGGAAACCCAATAAATCATTCCTTGTGGAGCCTGGCCTGGTTTGTGGACAACCCAATGCAAATAGGTGTTTCCATCACTGTCCAGGAGGCTCTGACTGGACTTGCAGGAGATGGAGGCCAGCTCTCCAGGTGTGATAGACAGGGAGAGTGGGGTCTGGGACAACAAAACATCTCCCTTGGATGCTAAAAGTATAAAGGAGAAATGCAACATCACATACAAACATGATGCATTTTTATTCTTTTCTCTTTTTTGCAAATATCAAACTTAACTTTTTCGTATTTTAATATACAATGAACATTTCAATTTTGAGATAACTCCAATATCTAATAACGAGAATCCCTCTAGAATTCATCTCCTTATCCATATCTTTCTTTGTTACAATATTTATCAGTTGACTATTCCTGATTCTTTAGAAATTTTCTTCTTAATTCCCTGATGGAAATTCACACAGCCCTGCTTCAAGTCCGCGTTGCACATCTCATGTATGAACAGAACTCACCCAGGGAGCGGTGGGATCCAGAAATTCACCCTCTCGTCCCCTGCCCTTCCACATCTCCCGGTATCCGTACCAGTGACCCAGAGCAGTAGCAGCCCCAGGAGCTGAAGTGGTAGCTTCATTTTGAGAAACTGAACTGAAGAGTCCTGATCAGTCAAGGCACAGCTAGAGCCAGCTTTTATCTGAAACTTGCCTGGGTAGGTCCTCCCTGGGGATAAAATGCAAATTCCCTGGTGGGTGCAGTGGTGCAGAAAGAGTGAAGAGCATTGTGGGAGGCTTCTCATGTGAGCCCAGTGGTATAAATCGTCCTCTGTATCTGGGGGAAACAATAGAGCTAAAGTCCATGCTGTGTGCAGCATTGGGTACAAGGCTCCCTCGGAAAATCTACATCTGCAGCAAGGATACAGTGCTCAGGGCTCTGTCCATCCAGACAGTACTGCAGACCCCAGGATATGAGGGGTTTACAGATCAGTCTCTGGGAAGGATAGTCTCATGCTCTTTACCCTCCTTGAAGGGAAAGACGCAATTCTTTCTTCATAAGAACTCATTTTAAATTTTTCTATCATTAATATCAAGTAGCAGAGCTGTGAAGTCCTTCTAGCCAGGTAAATGCTCATCATCTCGAAAAAAGATGAAAAACAATCTTTGTCTTCACCTAGAAATTAAATAGCATAAAAGCACTAAATCGAACGGAATGTGTATGGAGAAAAAATATCTGTCTTCCAGTTAGCAACCAGTAACTCTGTTGAAGGCAAGACTAATAGGAAAAAAATATGCCTTATATAGTGCACATAAAATTCTTCATAAGTAGATTTGGAAATTAGTAAATATCTAGTCATGTTTCTCTCTCTCTCTCTGTAGATATATATATGTTTATATATTATGATATCTATCTATCTATCTATTTGTCTAATTTATTAAAACTTCTTTTTAAAATTTTATTTAAAGAAAGGCTAAACAAAACCGAAAATAGGTAGAAATAATATATACGTTCAGAGGAAAAAATAAACAGCAAGAAATCACTTGTTGATGTTTACATATTGTCATGTTACAAATAGTTGTTCAAGATACAAAAATGGAACATGTAAAGTGGGAATTCAAATAGCGATACTGAAAACAGTTCTGTTCAACTGTCCAACAAAAGCTTAGTAACATGGTGGTCAGTCCTATACACTTAGACATACATGCAGTTATCCATATCTTCATTTATGCTTAGACTAAACAAAATAAAGCAGGTTAATGCCATTCTGAATAAGGAATAATAGTATTGCTGGATTTCACATTATGATACTCTGTGATCAGCACGGTACTGTAGTGTCTTTTTTTTAAATTATAATTTAAAGAAAGACTAAACAAAACAGAAAATGGGTGGAAATCATATATAATTTCATAGAAAAAATAAAAGAGTAAGAAATCGCTAGTTGATGATTGTGTCTTACAAATAGTTATTTAAGATACTAAAGTAGATCATATAAAGCGGGGATTCAAACAGTGAGATTGAAGCATTTCTGTTCAACTATCAAACAAAAACTTAGAAACATGATTAATTAGTCTTATACACTCACATGCAGTCAGCCATACCTTCAATTATGTTGAGATTTAATAAAACCAGACAGGCTAATTTCACTCTGAACAAAGAATAATATTATTCCTGAGTCTCGCATTATGACACTCCAGGATCAGTACTGAGAAATTTTGTGTCTCTTTTTCTTCAAAATATCTGTTCATTTCATCATGTGTCATAAGATAAGTTCACATAAACTGTTTATAGATTCTAAACATGCATGATTCTTAACATGTATTCCTATCTTTTCTATATTAGAGGGAGAAACAAAACAAAGCAATTTAAAACATACATATTGCTATAAACACATGAAATGAAAGAAACATATAAGACCATTGTACAAAAGTTCTACCATGGTTCCTGTGTTGCCTCTTGCTGTCTCCAATAGAGTTGGCTATATCATTAGACCTAGTATAATTGTATATATCAGTACATAACAGTATTAATAAAAACATAACTTTGTACATAGTATAGAACTTCAAAAAGTGGCATTTATCAAACCAGAATGCGTATCGTAGAGTCTTGTCATCTTCAGTGTAGCTGCTTAGACTCCCAGACTTGATATTATCAATCATATCAGTTTTGAATAAAATCTTCTCTGCCTCATTTCTGTTATGCTTTTTTTTTGCCATCAGTTGTCTGCTTATCTTCTTCCTTCTGTTTTCTGCTCCATTCATTGAAGGCTCTCTTTCATTATTCCTGGAATCCTAGTACTTTTCTCTCTCTGTAGAATGCCCTTCAGTATTCTCTGTAGAGTTGGATTGGTGCTTGTGAGCTTCCAAGTTTCTCTTTGTCTGGGAAGCATCATGTTTCTCCATTAATTTCTAGAGACAGTTTAGAAGGGTGTATCAATCTGGGATGGAGGTTATTTTCTTTCAGGACTTGGAATATTTTGCTCCATGCTCTTCTTAACTTGATGTTTCATGTCAAGAAGTCTGCCATTGTTCTGATGGGCCTTCCTTTATAGGTTATCTGTTTCTTGTCTGTAACAGCTTTTAATATTCTATTCTTATACTGAATTTCTGGGATCTTGATTATTATATGCCTGGGTGTAGCTCTCTTTTGGGTGTATGTGGCTATAGTTCTGTATGCCTCATATATCAGAATATCATATCCTTTTCCTATGTTTGGGAAATTTTCCTGAATTATTTCTGTGAATAACTCACATTCTTTATTCTCAAGTTATAGATCCTCTTGTTGTGTTCTAGCCTTTGTATTGTTATTGCTTGCTTCCTTGTATTTTTAAAAAGTTTTCCCTTTCATAATCCCACATTAAAATATTGTCCTCCAGTTCAGATACTCTATCCTTAGTTTCTTACAAGCTGATTTGCATCTTTCCATAGAGTTTTTAATTTCCTGGTAATCTCTTTCAATGTGCTTCATATATTCTATTTTTTATGTTCTTTATCAAATGGTTCTCTCCTTTGTTTGTGTTCTTCCCTTCTTCTATCTGTGTCTGCTTGAGGGGTGCATAATATCTCTTTTATTAGTCTTCTTACATCTTGCTTTACTTGGCTAAATATTTCACTTTTGAACTCGTCTATGAGGTCCTGAATATGTCTCTTTATGTCTACTGGCACCGTGTGTGATATTGCATGTTTGATGTTCTCATTTCCCTTAGTATTTACCCTTCCTGGATCAGTGTTCTCAGGGTTGGGACCTGGGGACTTTTTGTTGTTGCTTCCTCTTCCCATATTTTTTACTTCTTCCAGGAGGCTCCAGTTTCTTTCTTTGTTGGTTGCAATTCTTCTGAAATGCACTTGTTAGATGACCCTTCCCACTGCTGTGTGCTAGTGAGTTGCACACGGGGACAGCGTATGCTGGCCCTTCCCCTCTGGGTCATTCATGCTCCTGTGGCCTGCACTGTATTACTTTGCACTGTCTCCCCTTCAGGTCAGTCAAGCTGCTGTAGCCTGCACTGTATTACCCTGTGCTGCCTCCGCCTAGGTCAGTCATGCTGCTGTGGCCTGAACTGCATATTACTTTGCGCCGCCTCCCCTCTGGGTCAGTCAAACTTCTGAGGCTCCACTGGGTTAGTGTGGTTAGTGTGCACCACCACTGTAAGGACTTGATTTCAGATAACTTATTGGGTCTCAGCCAGATCATGTGACCCAGGCCTAGCTCACTCCAACAATCCTGTTCGGCAAGAGAACAACTGACTGAAGTCACTGCTGCCCCTTGTACTTGCCAGTCCTGCACAGCCCCAGAATGTCATCTGCTGGAGCCCCCTTTGTATGCAATGGCTCCCCTCCTGTCACTCACCACAGGTTGATGTAGGTACCCTGTCTACTCAGCTCTCTGTTCAGCTCACCGACCCCCAAACTCAATGTAAGTGTGCCTCCAGTGAGTCAAAGCAGTGGGACCTTGGACAGCTCAGCAAGTCGTGGTGGGACCCTGGATGTTTGGTAAGTCGCCTGCTGCAGCGGGAACACTGAACCTTTACTGTTCCAATAATAGCACCGGGATTGTATGTTTGGTTGGTTCATCTCAACTCAATTTCTTCTTGGGACAAGAGAATTCATCTCCTTCTATTTGGGACTCCACACACTGTATTATGTTGAATTCTAAGTTGACTATCTCAGGGAGCATCTGTAGCCAGTTGTTATCTATCTGCCATCTTTGCTCCTTCCCCTCAATCAAAACTTTTTTAAGAAAAAAATTTCTCTTGACTTTATATAAAGTGAATAAGGAATAATATATTATGCTACTCTTTTCTGAGTAATCATAAATCATCTTTTTCATTTCTACTTTTATAACAGATACAGAGCAGCCATGGTCCATAGTTTAAAGGGACATTCTAAATATTAGAATGGCACTATTGAATCTGATTTTTAATGTGCCAGTGTAATTAAAATCAGTGGCTGATATTTCCTGGACTTATGTAAGATGGTCACTGTGGAAAGAGGGTCACTTTCAGACTTTTCCTAAAACCATGAGAAAACGAAGCCATACTGATACCAGTCTGTAAGTACATGGTATGCTTTATGACAGCTCAAGAGCTGCAGTGTATCCTTACATATCTGAGAAACTGAGTTTATGGGAAAATAAGCGAATAAGGATTTTGTAATGTGTGCTTTTATTGTAAATAAAAGGATCTCTAGATGTGCTCATCATCATCATCATCATCATCATCATCATCTCTCTCTCTCTCTCTCTCTCTCTCTCTCTCTCTCTCTCTCTGTGTGTGTGTGTGTGTGTGTGTGTGTGTGTTTGTGCATTGGGGCTTAAGCCTGGGACATTCACAATTAGCCACACCAGTCTGTTTCATTTCCCAGATTTTGAGACTGCATCTCACTGTGCTGTTCACTCGCCCAGCTTCATCTCCAACTGTCTATTCTCCTGCCTCAGCCACCACTGTGTTGTGGTTACAAGTGTGCACCAAGTGTCTTGGATGATTTTACCTTCTGAGTGTGTGTGTTATTTCTGAATACTTCAAGAGGTGGAAAAGTTCCTTATTGGACCTGTCTGGACTCTTAAGGCCCTGTTCCTCATCTGTCTCACAGGAGTCAGCAGTAAGTGAAACAGAAGAAAATAATTTCATCTCATCCAAATCCTGTGTATTTGGGGGAAAAGCAATAGAGAAAGTCTAAGTGGCATCCATCTCGGGAGCAAGGATTCCATTGTTACAGGCTGAGTCTCTATTGGAAGACAGTGCAAAGTTCTCTTCTCCAGTAGGAGAAACCACCCCGACATCACAATTACTGCTCATCAGAGCAACTTTCTGCTAGTAACACTGTGGATCTAGGAAACATTTCTAGCAACTGTCATTTCCAGGTGAACTACTTTGATGTTAGAAAATGTGTTCCCCCGTAAGCTTCCTGGCCCAGTGATTAATCTCCATAAGGGCACTGCTTTCAAAAGGATTGGAAGGAAGATTTTAAAAAATGCTTAGTTTAGCTAGGGAAGTAGGTGTCCTGTTGAAGACAAGTGGAGAAGGGGAAAATGATTGTGCCTTAGCTAATAAGTATGCAGTTCCTGGGCGGTGGTGAATATACTGTCCTAGCTATCTCCACATGGAGATATTAACTGTAAGTCTGAATACATGTTAACATATTTATGTGTGTATTATAAATATTTATGTGAAGAAATGTATCCATATATAAGTATTTATATATTAATTTGTATTTATATATACACATAAGTGAATACACACCTATAAATGTGTACACATAGCTATATATAAATGCATATGTGTACATACTCACTTATTAAGTTAATTAAAATTGTTCTTAGGGAAGTGAGTCCTTTAAAATCTATTTTTGTTTGGGGCATTTGAGTCAGGTTCTCACTTTGTAGTTTAGGCTGGCCTTGAGTTCACTGTGTTGCCCAGGCTAGGATCAAGCAGGTCAGCCACTCATCCTGGTTCCATCAGAAACTGTTGGCTCGCTGCACAGAGAGCTTAGAGTTTGGGGTCTCTCTTCAGTTCATTGAATGTGGGTCTGGAAGAGATTTCACTGTTGCCATCATTAACTTCTAATTTGAAGATATGGCACATAATGACTGTCAAGAATGTTGTAGTGATTCTCCATATGTGACTCACCCTGGAGGACAAACTCATTTTAGTGTCTGTCTTGCTGTTTGCTGACCATGTGACACAGGAGTTGCACTCTCTTTGTCTACATAAAGAGTCTGCCCATTCCTCCTGATAAGAAAGGTGACAGCGTTCAGCAGAAAATTAAATGATTGGTGTCCCTTACATCCTTTATTATGGAAGAGTCTTACAGGAAAACTCAGTAAAGACATTCACATTACTTTTTTATTTGTACAGTAAGACTTTGTATGCAATTATGTCTTGAACATTCAAAAGTCATCATTTTACAGTTCTGGAGGTCATAAGTACATCTCAGTCCTTAGTGTGATAGAGCCAGGATGCTGTCAGGATGAACTCACTCTGGACGATCTAGAAGGGAATCTGTGATTCTTCAGCTCCTAGAGGTGTGCCTGAGACTGTGTCCCTTACCTTTCCATCTGTCAGAATTTTATCTCCCGGCCCCTCTCTAGGCTGCTCCTGTGTGTGCTGCCTCCTTGTGTGCTTTCCAGATGTCAGCACTGAAGATCCTCAGTCCACAGGAATTAAGGGTTCCCCAGATATTCTACTTCACAGTCAGTTAATTTCAAATTCAGTTCATTAAAAGAAGTCTGTTTCTGAAGAAGAAAAACTTGCAATGTGCTAACTAATTCCATTCATGCATCCACTTTCAAATGGAAATAAGCACTGACTGTTCTTTGAAGCATAGAAGCGATGAAGATGAGTCTCATGGACCACTTGTAATTGTTGAAGTTCTGCACTGGATCTTCAAGTTGTCTCTCTATGAAGTGGCCTTTCTTTACTTGCTTGGTATGCAGGTGTTTACTGCGATAACAGACATGTTGAATGCTATCAGGTAAAACACCTGGTGATGTGGGTGGTGCCATGCACAGATGTAATGGGGATGCACCAAGATGAGAGCTTCACCTACACTTGAGAAACCCACAGAATTATGAAAACAAGAATAATTGATATATATTCTACAAAGCTTAAAACAACCTTTTCTATAGAGAAAAACAACAATTCAAATAGTTTGTGATGTTCTCATTACAGGAAAGCTGCATATGAACATGTGAAACATCCAGAGAGTTTATGCAGGGGTAGGCAAGCAGTGAGTCTTAGGTGTGTTTGTGGTGAGTGAACAGAGTGCACCCTGGAATGTCTAAGGATGCTGGACCTGCTCTAAAGACCAAATAGGTTTTTGAAGATGTATGTGTGTGTGTGTGTGTGTGTGTATGTATGTATGTATGTATGTATCAAAATCAATAGAAATATGTCCTGAAATGTTTACTTTTCATAAACATAAATTTTAATACTACATAACTATCCTAAAAGGAAAAAAAGTCCCATGACCGTGGATATGCTCTAACACTGAGCTTCTTGGACCCCAGTGCAAAGAAAGTAAAGTATTATGTTATAGATTTCTCATTTGTGGAAGAATTCCTGTTCTTAAATCTGGCTCATTGTTTTTGTAGTGCAAAATTTTGAGGATCATGTTTCTCTCAGGGAATTGCATGGGAGTGTTAAGAACTGAGTTGAGTAATAGTCTTAACTATAATTTCGTAGACAATGCAAAAGTAAGATCTACATGGTATTTTGCTCTACAATTGGAGACAGTGCATACACAGTGTTAAATGGTGAGACTGGAATATGGACCTGAGCTCATGTGCAAAATCTCATCAGTGGACAGAGTGTGGTCTCCCAACAATGAGCCCTAATGTCACTTGATTTGTGGACTTCCTAAGCCTCGGGTGATGTGAAGGTCCTGAACCTGTCTGAGAGCTGATTAGAGCATTTCAAGAGCTGAAGTCTTCATTTGCTGGCAAAAAACTTAACAATCCTGATGCGTGAATGCTTGAGGGTATCTTTCTCTGGCCAGAGGTTTTCTTCCCAATGGAGGAGGTATGGAGGAGATCTCATCAGATGCAGCATGACATCCCCAGCTGTTCATCTTAGCCATCCTGTGTAAGTCAAGGAATTGTCCCCAATGCTGTGATTTTTCATTTGAATGTATGAATGATCCATCTCTCATATGAAACACAAAATAATGATAATAAAAATAATTCACCCAAAATAAAGAAATACATGAAATCAGCTATGTTCTTAAAGTTTTCAGTGATTTATTGCTGTGGTCCCCAAGACCCAAGCCTGGTTGCCATCCTTGGCTGCTGAGTTTCGAATCTGGTACAGAACCCTGAACACTCCTCATGTCCTGATCCATGTCCACAGATTCAGAGGAGACTGGTCTGGTGATGGATGAAGATGGGAGCTTTCTTCTATCTGTTTCTTCTGTTTGTGGATATTTAAGAGTGAAGCCAGGCTCTCAGGATCCTAATGAAGCACTCTGCCACTGAGCTAAACCTGCAGTCTTGGAATTGGGACTTTTCTGAGCTCTGCAAAGAGTTCCTGTGTGGTCTGCCCTGCCTGCTCTCTACTGACTAACTGTACATCTTACCAGACCTGCTTTCTCCCAATGTCTGTTCCCTTGGCCTGCTTTTTACCCATGGATTGCTGAATTCTTCTCCTCCTCACTTCCTTGCCAGGTACCATTGCCCCTGCTCAGCAGGCTCCCCATTGTGACTCTGACCCTGATGAGAGTGTGGTGGCTCTTTCACTTAGAAGGTGGTATCTGGAAGTGGAGCATTTAATCATGACCGTTGTGATCAGGTGCTGGGTTGAGAGCAGGAGTATAAGCGGATATCACAAGATCATTAGCCCACATTAGACACTGGGTTTTGTGTAACATGGAGAATGGTTTGTGTTCTGTACTTGGCTGGGGTAGGGTTGTGTGTGAGGTTGGATTCTTATGACTAGAAGAGCATGTGAGGAAGACAACAGAAAGGATCTTGCACAAAAACTGTTCTGTGTGAGCCTGTTTTCAATAATTGGACAGATTAAATGTACAGAGCTTCCTCAAATATCTGTGCTTGGTGGAAAGACAGCCTGTTTAACAGATAGCATTAGGAAAACTGGCTACACAGTGAGAATATTCAGCCTAAACCTGTATTTCTCATCATACAGTAAAATATAATAAATATGAATCAAAAGCCTGGACTTTAATACAGAAGCACTTAATCTTCAGGTAGATAATAATATAGATAAAATTTTGAGAGCATAAGAATAAATAAAGCCTTTTTGAACAGAACCCCAGTGTACCAGAAATAACATCAAGAAACAACAAATTAAATTATATTAAATTAAAATGCTTCTGTGTAGTTAAAGATGCAGCTGAAAGAGTGAAAAAACAAAATGTAGAACGAGGAGAATTCTTTGCCCCATGCTCATTAGGAAGGAGATTAATACTGACAACATGTAAAAAACTCTAAAATCAACAGACCTCCTAAATAAGAGTCAATCAAAAATGGGTAAATGAAAGGGCCAGAGAGTTTTTAGAAAAAGAATAATAAGTTTTTAGAAGAAGAACAATAAGTTATTAGAAGAAGAAGAATAAATGGTAAATATATAAAGAAATTTTCAGTATTACCAGCTCTGAGAAAAATGCAAATTAAAACAACAGTGAGGTTACATTTTCTCACAGGAAAAATGGCCACCCTATAGAAATCAAATAACACGAAATATTGGTGAGGCTGTGGGGAAAAATACACTCTTCTGTTTGGTTGGTAGAGATGGAAACTAGTACAACCAGCATGGATCTCTATATGCAGAGCCTGCAAAAACCTAAAAATAGAAATTCAGCTTGACTCCACTCTTCTGGTTCTAGTTATTTTCCACAAAGGGTTCAGGACATCTAATTACAATGATTCATTCATAGCCATGTTCAGAGCAGCACAACTTATAAGCACTCAATATTGGATGCAGCTCATAACTATGGACAGATGAATGGATATAAAGAAATGTACTTACACAGTGGAGTACTCCCAAGCCATAAAAATGAATGAGTCATTTGTACGAAAATGAATGCAGCTTGAGACCCTTATGTTAGATGAAATATATCAACACACAACCGTACATATCCCATTGTTTCTCTTAGATGTGAAATCCAAAGTATTAATAGATTAAATAGCAAAATAAGACAGATAATACAAAATAAGCTGCTAAATGCTCTGCAAATTGATAGGGAAACTAGAGAGACAGGGAAGAGAAGATAAAGGTTGCAAGAGGAATTAAAAATAATTAAAATGTGTTATGTACATAATGCCAACTACCCACACTGTACATAGAAGTACAGCAAGTGCACATTAATAAACATAACATATGACAATACAAGCTTAGACCTAAAAACATTCCACAAAGTGTTTAATGTTCTACCTATTAAATCACATACTTATTTTCTTGATCCTGGCTTGATGACCCGGTGTATAGGAGAGTGTAAGTGCTACCCAGGCGGAGGGGATACCAGGAAGCAGGAAAGGATGGCGACAAAATAAGGATCATTCAACTTCTCTCATGTCAACCCCAATATGTGATGAGGCAGAGTCACAATTTAGATGCTCACCTTTGCCTTGCTACATTGATGAGAGAGATGTCACAGGACTAAAGTTTCTTTTAGCCAGGATCTTTAATCACCATGGAGTCAGTAAGACTAAGATCCCTTCAAGAAGCATCACTTCTCGATGATCCATGGAGTCTCAGGAGCTCACTATTGCCAGCCCTCAACTTTGCTATTCTGAGATGCAGGAAGCTCTCCAGGAGCTGCAGACAGGCTGAGAGAAGCATGGTCACCATATACCCATTGGATTATCATGTGATATAAAGAAGGTGCAATATCGATTATAAATCATGAGACACTACAATTTAATAGTCATTTTAGGCTAAATTTATTGTGTGTCTTGTTTGGCTTTATCCATTTTCTTTAAAAAAAAATACCCAGAAATTTGAGGGCTCAAAGGAACCCCTGGAAGAGAGTTTCAGCCTTCTCTCTGTGTCAGAGGCCTCAGCAGAGCACAGGTCTTGGCTGCTCTGCTGTTTTCCTCCCTCTCAGGCCTGGGCAGAGGCCTCAGCTGCAACTTATTGTTCTGATTCTTCAGTCTCTTCCTCTCATGCAGAGCAGCCTGTGCTGTGGGTCTCCCCAGGCAGGGAGCTTTGTGTTTGGTGCTCTAGCACTGTGGGATGAATATATAAATCTTGCATACAATAATAAACCCCATCATCCTCAGCCTCCACCCTGCTGATATTCAGTGTGAAATCTGTTCCTGACCCACTGCCACTGAACCTGTCTTGGGTCCAGGATAACTTTTTGGAAAACAGAAAAATTATATACCTTGGAGCCTGGCCTGGCTTGTGCACCACCCAATTCAAATAGGTGTTTCCATCACTATGTAGGAGGCTCTGATTGAACCTGCAGGAGATGGAGGTCAGCTCTCCAGGGCCACAGACACAGAGAGTGGGGTCTGGGTCATGACAACATCTCCTGTGGATCCTAAAATGATGAAGGAGAAGTGAAATATCAGGAAGGAACATTATGAGCCATTTTGATAGATTTCTGTTTTATCATTATCAAGTGAAGTTAGTATCTTTATTTTAAAGTGCAGTGGAAAATTTTCAAATTTGAGATTGTATCCAAGGTTTTTAATCACAAGGTTCCCTCTAGAATTCATCTGGGCAGCCCTCTCATTCTTTGAGGCAATCTTCATGAGAAGCCTGGTCCTCAGTCCTTCAGGAATTTCCTTCCCTCACTGATCTAAACTCACACTCCCATGCTTCAAGTCAGGGATGTGCATCTCATGTATGTACTGAACTTAGCCAGGCAGCAGATGAACCCCAAAACTCACCCCCTCTCTCCATGCCCCTCCTCATCTCCTGGTGTCCTTACCAATGATCCAGAGCAGTAGCAGCCCCAGGAGCTGAAGAGGGAGCCTCATTATGAGAATTGGGACTGAAGCATCCTAATCAGGTAAGGCAAAGCTAGAGCCAGATTTTATGTGAGACTTGCCAGGGAATGTCCTCCCTGGGGCAAAATGAAAATTCCCTGGTGGGTGCAGTGGTGCAGAAAGAGTGAAGAGCGTGGGGGGAGGCTTCTCATGTGAGCCCAGTGGTATAAAATCTCTTCTGTATTTGGAGGAAAACAATAGAGCTACAGTCCATGCTGTGTGCAGCAGTGGGTACAAGGAATTCTTGGAAAACCTGTGTCTCCATAAGGGACACAGTGTTTAGGGCCGTGCCCATTCCAGACAGGACTGTGGTCCCCAGGATACAGAGATATGTGCAGATCACTCTCTGGGAGGGGAAAATTCATGTTTCTTAGCCTGCATCTTTTGTCCATGCGGATGTGCAGTTGAGATCTGTTTGTGATGAGGTAAGCCTAAGCAAAAAGTGCTTCAGGGAACCTGAAAAATATCCGAGGTGCCAGATCTGTCCTGTACCTGAAATACAGGTGTAAATATACAGCTGTGATTTCCAAAACTAGAATAAGCTAAGGGGAACCTGCCCTCACTGATGATTACCTTGGCGATGACCTGTGTGGTGCACAAGATGATTCCTCACCATTCTCTTGGCTGATTGCTGTTCTGTTATGGCAAGCAAAGCAGCAATAGGCAGATTGGGACAGTCAGATTTTGAGTGTGTGCGTGTGTGTGTTTGTGTGTGTGTGTGTGTGTGTGTGTGTCTGTGTGTCTGTGTAGTTTTTATTTTCAAGATAACATGGTAGAGAAGATTGAGGATAGTGTGTGGTGACTGTAAGACAGAAATTGTTTGAAATATCTGGAAACTATCACTCCAGTGATGATAAAGAACACACATTTATAGCATGTGATACCTTCCTGTGGCCACTTGGAATCCCTTCCCATCCTCTCTCCCATATGGTTCTTCGCCTTTTCTCAATATGAGGAAGGTGCAACCTTTCTGCACATAGTCTTTTCCTTGTTTGAAGGCCAAATACAATCAGTGTGACCTTGTCAATGATAGGGAAAAGACACAGCCCAGCACCTCAGTCCACACCATGTGAGAGAGTGCACTTGTGCTGGACTCAGGAATGGACCACTTGAAACTTCCAGCTGAACTGAGTTGCATGGCTCTGGGTACGGCACACCTAACTGAGGATTATTACCAACAACATCAAAGCAGAACTAAAGAGGAAGATGCTGTTTTTCTCCTGGTGAAGGTTTTCACACTGGATTTCCTGATACGAACTCACTTGTCCTCATTGTTAGAGGAGCTCCTGTCCTCCCTGTCACTGAGGACAGCTGTGGTTCTTTTTAAGGGAACTGGGTCTTTCCCCTCAGTGTGGCTTCCTGGCTCCAGTGCAGAGGCCCACATCTGCTGGCATTGGTCCTTCACCCTTCTGGGTAAGTCTTTCTGGTTTCCACCACTGATCTTTGGGCTACTGAGTGCAGATCCTTGATGCAGACTTGTATGATGTATTGTTATGTCCTCTAAGCATTAGCTGGATATGAGTGGACTCTGTCATGGGCTCTAGGTATATAACTGGACAGGTGGAGAGCATTGCTGTGAGACCCAGCCCTTAGCTGGGTTCTATGCATGTCTAGTGTGTGGATGGATCTCCTGCATAGTTTTTCATTTGAAACTTTGGGTGCATATGATAAAATATTGCTGTAAATTATGTGCCCTGTGTTAATTCCTTTGCTTTGCAGACCCTGAGAATTACACCAACTTTTATTGTCTATATAAAAGCCTAAAGCCAGCTAGGTAGACTGGCACATTCCTATAATTCCATTTGGGTTTTGGGGCTACTTGGAGAAATTAAGAAGATTATTTTGAAAAATATTGGAAAACACTGAGGCTGTCAGTCAGGGTGAGTACATTTACCTGAGCTTACTGGAGGCTCTGGACTCCATGCCCACGACCAACAAAGATTCGTAAAGTCTTATCTCTCACCATGGTCCCTCAGTAGGCAGATTATTAGCTTCACAGTGAAGAAATATGGGTGTCATCAAATCCTTCACTCAGCAAGTGAGTATACTTGCTGAGGATAACTCAATAACACTTTGAGTATTTTCATCCACTTATTTGAATCAAAGGAAAAATTTTGAATTTCTTGTAATAAAAGACAAACACCTGACATCCTAAATGCCATTTAAAGTAAGTCAGGCAGTTCTACTCTAAAAAGATCAGAAGACTTATCTACAATTGTCTTGCTTTTCTTAATAAAACGGAAAACTATTTTACAAAGTTAAACTGTGCAGAACAAATTTCTTTTGGAATTTTCTGGGGGCGCACATTATGGTAACTGCCACCTCCATCCAAAAATTTTAGCACTCAAAATGAAAATTCTAGTTGTTTACACATTTTTAAAAATTCATTGCTTGAATTAGTTTTTCCAACTCCCAATTCTGGTTGGAGCATGTTGCTATGTGTATTTTTTACTGTTTTCATTCATACTTGAATTATGAATTTTTTGGTCTTTGTTGATATAAGATTTTGCTGTGCAGTTCAGGTTGGCCTGGAACTCATTTTGTGGTCTAGGATGACTTAGAACTTGCAGTGACCCTACTGCCTCAGCCTCTCAAATGCTGTTTTATAGGCAGTTGCTCCAACACCTGGCTCAAATTTTGAATATCGACAATTTCTGACCTTGTGGTCTTTTGTTCTTAAAGTATTATCTATAAACTATTTACATTGTGAGTTATCACTGAATGATGCCAACTATTGCCCATCATTGTTTCTTTTTGTGTCACTAATCCATTTATTTTTTCCCTTTTGATTTATTTTTAATTTCTTGTGTTGCTGGTTTGCTGGTCATGAATTCCCTTAATGACTCCTTGTCATGGAACTTCTGTATTTTTTCCTAAACATGGAAATATATTTTGGTAGGATATTATAATGTGCATTGAAATGCTTTTGAACTTGATAACTCCTCTAGCCTCTCCTGGCTTTAAAATTTATTTTAAGAAATCTGCTGTTGTTCTGATAGGTTTATCTTTTGAAGTTACTTGATATTTCTCTCTAGGGGTTTTTAGTATTCTTTCTTTGTTCTGATTTTCTTTGATTTTTTCTATAATGTGTTGTGGAGAGATTCCTTTGTGAACGTATCTCCTTGGGGTTTTAAATGCCTCATTATCTGGATGTTCATTTCAGTGTCTAGATTTGAAAATTTTCTGCAATAATTTTGGGGAAAAATATTTAGAACTTTCCTTTGTTTCTTCAGTCTTTTATTGACTTCTGTACTGCTCAGGTTGTGTCTTTAGAGTCATTGATGAACTCTAAGATCGATTTTTCATCATTTCTTTTGTTACAAGAAGAATCCCTGAGATATCTACTACACCCTTCCTGTCCTGAAGTTCTGGTACTTTCTCTTCTAATTGGTCATGTATTCTGGCACGGTGCTCAGCTGTGCTTTTCATTTCCAGGAACTGTGCTTTCTTCATTTTTACAACCATCAATTATTTCCTAGGTCATTAATTCATATTCTGAATTGTCTTGTGGCATTCAGTCAGCTGTCTGTGTCTTCTTGAAGGCTGCCAAATATCTTATTAATTAAAATGTTCAGCTTGTTTACATCCTGTTTGAGCTCACTGAACATGGTATGCATTTTCTTCTTTGATTTCTCCAAACATTTGACCATTTGGTTTCTGAGTTGCTTCCTGGACACTTTCTCCACTTTATTGACTGCCAGATAGATTTTTAGGAGTTACATCCTTTTTAGGCATCTTATTGAGTTACTTGTTCTATATTCCTGTTTTTATCATAAATGTTGTAGATCAGTTGGGCTAGAAACTTCTGCTGTTAGAGATAACCAACAGCAAACTGCAAAGAGAAGAGTTTCTGGTAATATCTACCTGAAAAGAACATTAAAGAGTTTGAGAAACAGTGGCATTAGGTCCTCTCTAATTTTTTTATACAATTCAGTGTGAACCATATGGGCTTTCAGATTTATTTACTTGTAGGTCTTTAATTACATCTTCAATTTCATCAACTGAAATTGATTTATTTAATATTCATATCTTGTTGATTCAGCTTTGGTAATTGCTATATCAAGAAATCTGTGTATTTCTACTCCATTTTCCATTTTACTGGCATGTAAGCTGTTGAAAGAGGTATGGATTCTGGGAGATCAGTTGCCACTTCACCATTTTCCTTCCTAATTGCATGGATTTGAGACTTTTCCTTCTTTCTTTTGATTACTCTGGCTATGGATTTTTCCACCCTGTTTAATATTTCAAAGAGCCAATTTTTGCATTCATTGATTCTTTGCATTGTTTTCTTAGTCTCCATTGCATTAATTTCTGTTCTGACTGAAAGTTTCTTACTTCATGTGATCTTAAATCTGACACGCTCTTGTTTTTCCTTAAGCTAGATGTTCAGCATTATGTTTTCTCTGTGAGCTTACTCTGTTTTCCTGATGTGGGTTTTCAGTGCTATAAATTTTCCTCTTAGGACTGTTTTCACTGTGTCTCATAAATTCTGGTATGTTGTATTGCCATTATCATTTAATTGTAGAAGCTGTCTAATTTCTTTTTAAATTCCATCTTTGACTCACTGGGTATTCAGCTTGGTGTCATTTAATTTTCATGTGTTTATGAACATTTTTTTGCCTTTTTGCCTTTTTATCGGTACCAGGGATCAAACTCACGACTGCCTGCTTGCAAGGCAGGTGCTTATGCCGCTGAGTTAAATCCCCGGCCCCTGAACTTCTTGTGGTTTCTTTTTTTTTCTACCTGTAGCCAAACTCAGAGTCTTGTATTTGCCAGGAAGGTCCTTATATACTGAGCTATATCCATGGACCAGCTGTTTTGGTTTCTTTTTAAAATTTTTAAAAAGATACTAAGACAAAACAGAACAGAACAATGTAAGCAACACTGTACTTCACCACTAGACAACATGATATTAACAGTAGTACCATTATGTCTCTTTCTTTGAAATAGTTGAGCACACCTTCACATACAATAGTATCAAACATAACAAAATAGTTTAAAACCATTAAAGAGAATGAAAGTATTACAGGGCATGCAGAACCAAGTAATAGAGAATGAACAACGGCTACTATATTGTCTCATTGTCCAAAAAAATTAGTTTATATTATCACGCATATTTAAAATCCAGTAAGATGCAACATAATAGTACCAATGGAAACAGAAAAACAAAAGCATGATAGGACTTCCAAGCAAGATGATATTAACTCATCAGTGGATATCATAATGTTTTGTTTTCTTCAAAATAGCTGTTCATACAATCACAGATACTAAAATCAAACAAAACAGAATAAAACTGTTTCAACTAATCAATGAAAACGTTATAAGACTTCAAAGCAATGTAATGGGGAATCATGATAACCATAAAATCTTATGCACTCTTACTATTTCTTACACTAGGAAGACCATATGGTATTTATACATGTGAGTTTGATTTATTTCACTTATGAGTATGGTCTCAAGTTGTGTCCATTTATTTATAAATATCTTAATGTTATCATTCTTTATAGCTGAGTAGTACTTTATAGTATAAAAATAACCACAACTTTTTATCCATTCCTCAGTTGATGGACACTTCCAAGATCTGGCTATTACAAACTATGCTGCTATAA